ATTTTGTTATTTCTCCTTATCACTGTACATAATAAATCACTGCTTGCATCGAAGTCGGCTACCTGGGTCCGCCTCTTTCTCGTTCACTCACTGACAGGTGCGAACGGCACATAACACCAAGAAGCTGCCAGATCGTTCTAACTCCTGTTCAGACCTTCCAGCATTTTTCCTGTACCTGTGATTCCAGCTCTGACCCCAGATTACCTTGTGACCACCGAGTATTGCCTAGCCCTCCTGATTTCGGATTGTCTTTTCTGAGTATGGAACTTGGACTTTGTTTTTTTGACCATGCTTTCTTGGAAACCTTGTCTGCGCAAGTTTACTGGATCTGACCCTGGACTCTATTATCGACCTGAGAGTGTTACGTGCTTAATCTGAATCCTGCTTCGTTGTCAGTGCTCTTATTAAAGAGACAGTGTTTTACTTTCACTCGTCTGGCTCTATAATTGAGTTCACCCTCGACATCATTGGCAGCTTTACACGCTGATCTTGACAGACCGAGGTTATAGGTTAGATAAGAAAATAATAGCTGGAAAGCTAACGTGGGTTATTTCAAGTCTGGCTTATTGGCTGTTAGTCAGTGCCTATGATAGGACTGACAACACTGCTTCATACAAAAATTGTTTAATTTGCTCTGTTTTGGTTGATGCAAAGACATGGCACATGATCATTAAACTATATATATATATTTCTACATTTTTGGAACCGTAATTTTCTCAGCAAGAGCATAAGACATGAAAATAACAAAGTAGATATGCATGGATTTGTGATTGTAGTCTATAGTATGTCAGAGACACTTTAGCTAAACTGTGGAAGCTGGCAATCTCTATAACTTTTGTCCTGAAAAAGAAGACTATCTTATGTCTGTTCTGAGGTTGCCATCATTTGGAAACGGGTGGCAGGTTTCTATGCAGGCAATCCCTGCAGTTTCCCCTATAATAAGTACAGGCATGGTGGGCCACCATGCCAATGAGACCCCCAGCCATGCCTACAAAACAGACCTGTTTACCTTCACTGAGCCTTCACACAGACCTCTCCAAATTACAGTAAGATTGTGATAGTTCATATTTTCTCATGGAACTGCAAGTGCGTCTTTTCTGCCCTTTTAATACGTTACACAAACGTTACGATGTGTCAGTAATCAATGTTGTTATAATAGTTTAACATAATTGATCACTAAGCAATCATCACAGAGCAAAGGTGTTGAAATAAAGTTTGAGTAAATGCAAGATGATTTCTCATTAGCCAATTAGCCATATTACAAGCCAATTACAGTAAAACATAACAACTTGGCTGCTATTAATGCTAATGTGAGCATGGCACCATCTAAGAAGAGGAAAGCAGGGGTACTCAGCCAAAAATATTAATGGTCGTCTCCAAAACTCTGGAGACAATTCAAGATGAGGATAAGAGAAGTGAGAGAGGTGAGAGGGGCAGAAGGGGGTGTTGGCCCCAGTGTTAGCAGGTATATGGGTCAAAGGCAGGCTGTAGGTGAACCAGTGGATAGAAGCAAACAGAACATCTGACTGGGACCCAGAAGGTTAAAGAGCCTAAAATTGTGGTTGTTCCACAATTCCAGTTCCAGTTGGTTGACCTCATCAATTTAAATAAGTTTAAAATGGAAATGTGTTAAGATTACATTTTTGTTACAATTGAGGTTTTGACAAGTAATAATTATGAAAATAGCACTTTTGTTTCCTATTATAGTTTTATTATTTGATATATTTCATTATGTGGGTTTTATCTTTTTATTTATTTATTTTTTGGATAGGTTGTTCTAAGTTCTTTTATTGTGAAGTGACTGGTAGCTTTGACAGTTATTTGTGTCCAATAAATTCATCTTATTAATACTCTCCTTATTTTATGTGACTTTTATATAGAAATTACCAACCAAAAGTCTGGTGTTGCGCAATAAATAAATAACCAAAGATTTTAGTGTGTGTGTGCTGTCATCCTCTTGTCACTGTGCCTGAAACATTTTCTAAGAGAAACACTGCCTTTTGAGCTAAATTGAGTATTTTGGATTTTTGGATTATCATGATGCATCAGTGCCTCATTGCTTGGGATGGTTTGCTGTAATTGTACTGTTGGTCCAGGTAAATGGTCTTTTTCTTAAGCAGTACCAAACTCAAGTCAAAGACACAAAAGCTACATGATGTAAGCCAACATTTTAAAAAAACATTTTAGTGGAGGTCATATTAAATACGTTTAATTGAAAAACAACAAAAAAAAAACACATTAAATACTGAAGTCTGGACCACCCAGCACTCAAGGATCATCACTGTACTGTATAATACTTACTGATAGTTGATAGTTTTTGGAAGTATTTCTGTAGATATAACAGCGCATATGTGTGTGGATGTGTGGGTGTTTGAATTTGCTGTCTCTCCTCGGCTCGTGTCCAGGTGTGTAGACAGTCAACAGACGGTCCTCCCCACAAGGTCATCACCTCTGTGTTAGCAGCCCAGATCCCAGCTTCCTGTTCATTGTGCCAGTGACAGATATTATTTCCATCAACATGCAAGCAGAAGGGCCTTAACTGTATCAGTCATCTCAACGTGTAGGCAAGAGGGGGAAGTCTCTCACCATTATCCAAGAACAACCACGTCTTTGTGTACAACAGCGAGAGGGTGGAAAATGAAATTAGATTATTCTGTTGTGTTCTTAAGATTGGCTTCTTCTACAGGAACAATTAGATTGCATCGCCAAAACCTTGTCATCTCTCATTTCTTCATGTTTGCCATCTCTCTGCATTATTTTTGCTCATGCTTTAGTTTGCTCTGCTTCACTCTCCTGCCCTTAATTAATATACAGGCTGAATAAAGCGTGTAAGAATGTCAGTTAAATTGCCATAAAAGCGACGGATACAGTTATTTCATGTTTGCCCAGATAATATTCTCTCGCCTCCTTTACTTTCCAGAAGTATAAGCCTATGGGGCTGCCTGCCAGATACAGGCACTCAGCCGCTGTGCATTCCTTATTACACAGTACATACCACTCTGCAATCAAAATTTAGGAATCACTCCAAGAATAACATGTAGCTTATTCAGACATCTTTTTCAACATATCAAATGCATACTTTACTGCTTGCTGTAAGTGTGCTTTTGTTCCATTGGTGGAGTTTAGGGTAACAGCTAAGAGGATGCCAACAAGTCATTTTGAACAAGGTGGGGTTGCTGTAAGAATTATGAGACGTCACCTTAAGCTTTACAATGTGACATAAAATGTGAAGCGTCACTATTTCGATGTTAGAAAATGTTTTTTCTTCTCTTCTGTGTTGTAGGATATCCTGGGTCTTGGTCACACATTACCATACAGATCTAAGAGGTCCCTGCTGGTCCCTCCTATGATTGTAACTGAGAACCAGAGAGCTCCCTTCCCTAGGCTCATTGGCAGGGTAAGTTACACATGGTTCCATCATACATTCAGCTGGCCTTGATATCCCAAATGTGTCTCACAGTGGAACTACAGTAGGTACTTGGGTTATGCATTCAAAATGCTCACCCACGACAGAAAAATACCTAAGGTACATTATGTGCATTAATTAAAGCTTTAGATTATTTAATAAAAGGCTTTATGAAGTTCTTGTATGTAGTGATTTATTCTATATTTTAATGATTTGTTATTAATAGTCTCTTTGCTTTACCTGTTTAACAGGTACACAGTATATTAAACCTTTAGTAAGCAGTTTATTTTCAGTCATATCATATACATACTGGAGGAACTGTAATAATCTTACTAAAATATATTTTAGCTGGGAGGCAGTTCAGTTGAGTTTACATGCCTTTGACACCTTGCAGTTAATGTACATTAAAAATATACATGGTCATTCAGACCAGCAATCAATTAGATTACATTTAATCTTACCTTACCTTGACATTTACAGTATATGATGTTAGAATATAGAAGACTAGAGAAACTGCCATCAGAGATGCTTGGGTCTCTTTCACTTGTGAGAATGTTTGCTTGCCACCAGCACAGGCTGAGTTTCTGTCCAATACCATTAACCTGCAGCCAATTATAACTTATGTCACTCAGTTAAAAGGTCTTTCACAGACTCCTGCTGACTTGCTCCTGCTTGAAAAAATAAAATAAAAATCGCTGCTTGCTGAATGTTTTTTGAATAAAGATTCAAGAGATGTTCTGTAAGATTTATCCAGCACCAAAGCCAAGTATAAACCATTATTAGTGTGCATATAAGAACTGTTTAAATCACAGTGATCTATTCTAAAGTTGTCACTGGTTATAAATTTCAGAGCACTACTGTATGATATAAAACCTGTATTGACTGAAGTATAGATGGTAGAGTTTACCCATAAATATTACCAAAGATACAAGTGATTTGGTTTCATTAGGTACTAGTTTAAGATCAGTTAGAATAACATAATAATTTAAAATGTTATGCAGGTTAGCAAATATTATTACAAAAATGTGAGGACTTGTGTATTAGATTACTCCCTTGTCATTAATACCCGTTCAGTGCCATGCATGAAGGAAGTTGCTAGTGCACTCATTATCAAAGGCAGTAGTCATTTCAGACTAAAGTAGGAGCAAACAGGGCACTAAAGTACATTTTAGTTTATTTTCCTTACAGAGGTTTTGCCATGAGCACTTAGGTTCTTTGATGATTTGGTTACAGTAGGTGAGGTGCCTTAACAAATTTGGCCAGAAATTTATGAGCATGAGTAATGTTGAGGTAAACTGCTCTGTTGTTCAGAAAGCATGTTGTAAGGATCCTAGTCGGTACATCTGAGATTATTTATTATTGTGTAAGGACATGTAATAGCAAAATCAGTGACAGCATCCAATAACGTTAAAAAGAGAAACTAAACAATTTACAGGTGTCAATAATTTGTGCACATGCTTTAACCAGTATGTTAGAATTTGAGGCTGTTCACTAAGCATCTGCTGTGCCTATTGTTTCTCCAAACGCTTCATATGTGAACTATCAACAAACAACAGTCATTAATGTTGTGTACTTAGTGCCATCTTATTACTTGATATTGAGACAAACTGCAGTTTGGAAAGCAAACACCATGCTTTTCCAATTATTTTAACTGCTTTACAACTTCATAGAAACCTAGCATTTTTAATGAGTATTATCACAGGCAGCTATGTTGAAAGAGAGACAGTTACACCAAAAATCTCAGTGTTTCCTTTTCAAAAATGCACACAAGTAATAAATGAACCCTCACAGGATCACATATTGAACACGTTCTACCTCTAAGAGCAATCATTTTTGAGAAATGAGGCCATGCACAGAAACCTTAAGTCAGACTCTGCACTGAATATTACGATGAACACAGATATAGATTCCATGTTTTATTCTGAAGCTTTAACATCCAAGTTTGACTTCAGGGTGGACACTGCAAATCAGGAGAATATATCATATTATATATAGGCACTGCATCATAATGTCTTGGTGCCCATTCCCTCTTAAGCAAACATACAGTAGATTAACCAGCTTGATTTTTAGAAATGTTTATTTTTGGTAATATTTGCTTGAAAGAGTAACCCTTTTTAGTTTCTTCTTTTTATCTGTGTGTGTGTGTGTGTGTGTGCTTGCATATAAGTTAAGGTATATAATTGGTTTCTGTGTTATCTGTAATGAATTGTGGCAGTCCTGATTCATTCTGCTTACTTCCTCAACTTATCAGGCAAATGACTTATGTAACACATATTGTTATTACAGGGCAATGTGCAAAATCAAAGCCTGAACAAAGTATATTTCATAATTTTTACAGGCTGTAATACATGCTAATAAAGGAACACATTACATATATTCTTTACAGGTAGATCAATGATGGAACATGTACATAGTACATGCAAAGCCATGTTGTGACAGAGGCACTTTCTGATGCCTACTGTAAAATTTGTCCATAGTTTTATTTTATACATTCAGGGTTACCGTTTTCTCTGATATGTGTTTTACCCTTGTAAACTTTCATCTTTCTTTTATCTGTGTTGTTATACTTTGTTGTGAATAGATACAAAAAGCAATATGATAAAATTGAAAGCTTTCATTTTCAATCTTTTAGTTTGTTAGAGACCAAACACTGTATTTGAGACAAAGCCGTGCTTTGTTAGTGGAAGAAAACAAAAGTTCCCAAAGGACACAAAGCTTTTTTTCTTAGTTTACCTTATTAAGGTCTGACGGGGCAAGAAAATAATTGTGTTCGCCTATAGCATCACTGTTTGACACCCAATTTAATTCGTTGCTTTACTGAAGTTTTATCAGCCCTGCTGTCATTAGGGCTCCCAGTGGAAGTTGAAAGCTGTGACATTACTTCTTCCACTACTGCAAAAGGCATGAATCTTTGTTATGTATGTTTTCAGATATAATTTTGCTACAATATCAGAGTTTTAAACTGGGGCTATTTGCATGATACAACATCCTCCAAAGTGTAGTTCCTCTTTAGGATTTACTCATTGTTTTATCATTACTGAAGGATTTTATTTGTCTAGCTAGACCCTGTTGAAAAGGTCAAAGATGATGTGACACCATACTATTTATGTGGCAGATTATGAATTGTGGTACTACATAATGCATGGAACTCCTCCAGTAGCTCTTCCATTCATTTCCTCTCAAAAGGAACTCCATAGTTTAATTTTTTATGGTGAGAAGTCTGTGTGGAAGATAAATCGTATCACTGGAGTCTAAGAACAAATGGTCAACCAAAAGCCATACATTCTGGCCCCAGTATAAGACTACATTTATCTCACCCCCTTGTTATGAAGCTTTGATGTATCTTTGCTTGTCATGCAGCTTTGTTAAGCTAGATATGAGCAGGAACTAAGAGATCACCCAGATCTCTCAATGCCTACAGAGACGAACATAAAAAGATATCCCATACTGAGCCCTGTATATAATAGATAATTGTACCCTGGAGAGCACAACCACAGCACAGACCCTGAGTCTCCAGCTCATACCAGCCCTGTGCTTAATATGTTAAAGCAATTGCAAGGCCTGGAGATACCAGAATGGTAGTGAAGGGCGGTGAACTTGCATGTGTTGAACCATTAGGTGATATTTTTGGTGGTACAACTGTCATCCACAGGGGTTTGTGTGAATTCCTCCTCATGAACTGCAGGGGCATAGAAGATAGTCAGGAGATAAATTTGGTCCACAGGGGACACAAATTAGCTCTACAGTATGCTGTGGATTGAAATAAGTGACAGCTATCTAGTATAGCCATTGGGTACTTACACATATACATTCATATGAGGAACTGGAAGCATAGTGCATACATGACATGCATTCTTTTCTCTCTCTCCCTCTATTTCCTTGTTCCCACTTCCCTCCAACTCTCTAGTCACAAATCCCATCTATTCTTTGCTCATTCTTGTATTCCTCTAACCTTCTCTCCTACCTCCACATCCAGCTTTGCATGAGAAGACAAGCTAATGTGGGCTATTTTACCCAGCAGAAGCTTATATGACGGCAACTTGGTGAAATTGATTTTCCACACCAATAGCTTTCCTCTTTTTACAGAACCTACCACTTCCATATGGAAGCCAGTCATTTTTCATGCTCCCTCCTTCTCTCAGGGAGATAAGCACTAGGAAGAAGGGGGAGGTGAGATTGCAAGGACTATGTTTTGACATGTATGACTGTGTTCATGCTTGCACGTGTGTAGTGTGTAAGTGTGTGCGTGTGCTGGAGGGGTGAGGGTGGATTGGCTGTCAGTGGGACGCACAGGCAAAGCATGAGAACTTTGTTGTTTATGTCACCTCCTGGTAGCTGTGGAATTGTTTTGATACAGAGGTCTCTACCCGGTCTTCCCCTGGGAGCCCATAAACCGCTCACAACAGCTCACACAGCAGCTGGAGAGTTCAATGAAACTGATATGCTTAAATGTTTCTCTTAGTACATGCCACCTCAGTCACTACCGAGAGGACTGTTTTTTAGATTATTTAAGACGATAAGGCAATCACAGCTCAAGTAGTTTAAATGTTTATTTCTGAAGCTTTTGTGCTCATGCCTGGGATTAAATGTGAGTAAGGTGTAATTCTCACATGGGGGCAAAAGGAGGATGGGAAACTTAACGCTGTCACCTCACAACAAGAAAGATCCGGGTTCAATCCAGGGCTGATGTGATGCCTTTATGTGTGGTTTGCATGTTCTCCTTGAGCCTGCGTGGATTCTCTCCAAGTGTTCCGGCCTCCTCCCACAGTCCAAAGACTTGCACCCTGTCCAGGGTTTACCCAGCCTCTTACCTAATGTCCACTGGGATTGGCTCCAGCCCCTCCATGACCCTATTTAGAAATAAGGGGTATAGATAATGAATGGATGGGTAACTTCAGTGTTCAAGGAAAAATTGTTTGCCACTGTCAGTACTCTACATTTTCACAGATGCTATATCAGTCTGATGGTGCATGTATTATGGTTTCACATTT